GTTCCCAGGGCCTGAGGGGAGAGGGAGTAGGGAGTGTCTGCTTAATTAATGAGTACAGAGTTGCCGGGCGCGGTGGCTCAAGCCTGTAATCCCAGCACTTTGGGAGGCCGAGGCGGGTGGATCACGAGGTCAAGAGATTGAGACCATCCTGGTCAACATGGTGAAACCCCGTCTCTACTAAAAATACAAAAAATTAGCTGGGCATGGTGGCGCGTGCCTGTAATCCCAGCTTCTCAGGAGGCTGAGGCAGGAGAATTGCCTGAACCCAGGAGACGGAGGTTGCGGTGAGCCGAGATCGCGCCATTGCACTCCAGCCTGGGTAACAAGAGCAAAACTCCGTCTCAAAAAACAAAAACAAAAAAAAAAAAAAAAATGAGTACAGAGTTTATGTTTGTGGTGAAGAAAAAGCTCTGGAAATGGATGGTGGTGATGGCCGCACAATACTGTGAATGTGCTCAATTTAGCTCCACCGAAATGAGTGGCTAAAAATGGTTAAATTTTTAAATTTTAAAAAAATTTTTAAATTTTTAAATCTTACCATAAAATGGTAAGATTTATGTTATGTATATTTTACCACAATTAAAGAAAGAAGTTCTCCTCTGATTAATTGGAAGAGCCTTGCTGTCACTTGTGTCTTTGAGGGTTCTGGGTTGGGTGGAGCAAGTGTCAGCGTCTAAATGGAGGGGCAGTGGTGAAATTCCTGCCACTCAGCCATCCTCCCTGTGCACTAGCTTGGGTGCATTTACTATCAGATGTGGAGCATAGCTCTTGCATCATCATTACAACCTGGAAAGGGCCTTTTGACCATTTGGGCCAAACCCTAATTCTACAGGTGAGGAAAATTAGTCCAGACAGAGCATGACGGGCCCCGGGTGGTGCAGTGTGCTAGTGAAGCAGCTGCAGTGCCCAGCTCCACCCAGGGCTCTGCCCTCTACTCTGGGGCTGAGAACCACAGAAGCCTAGGGCTGGCCAGACACTCTCAGTAGGGAGGCAGCAGGCTAGTGACAGGGTGTGGGCTGAGCTAGAGAGTACACACCGACCTACTGGGGGCTCTAGAACATCGAAGCCAAGCGGGAATGCAGCCTATTTTTACCATGTCTTTTGTTTTCCAAAAGAAGACATACATCCTTTAAAAAGAAAATGTACTCTATCAAGTTTTAAGTATTGGCTACTAATTCAAAAATTCCTAAAATACCGTGACAGCCAGACAAAAAATGTCTATGGGCTGTTTGACCCACAGTCTGCCAGTTTTTTATTTCTGTTATACAAAACAAAAATTTCTTTTTCTCCCTTTTAAGTTTTAAGTGTGTAAGAGAAGTCTTTGAAGTTCATTTTTAGAATTTCATTCCAAAAACAAAAGCTCTGGCTCGGCTGTCCCTTTCAAGGCCTGCAGAACACAGTTCACCTTCCCGGGGCTTCGTGCTTGAACCACTATTTGTAGATCCAAATCCTCCCATTCACTAAAACCTGTTCAAATCCCTCTCCTCTGTGAAGCCATCCTCAGCCCACCGGGATCACCCCCCAGGGTTTCTAAGCCTGTACTGTACTTTCCTAGTTGGGCAATAAATCTTTTCCTGCAGGTGAGAGCTCTCCTGCTTTAATGTCAACCAGTCATTTACCTCCGGTGTTGTCATTTGGTTGCTCATTTTCCTTCCTTGTTTTCCAAGCCTCTACTCCAAGAGGCAGATATAATGAAGAAGAGTTCTGGATTTCGGACCCTGACTGCCCTGTTCTTTGATTCACCTCGCCCTCCCTACCAGGATGCCTGAGCTCCTTGCTGACTTCTCGGCTGACTCTGAGGATGCGTTTCTCCGGTGGCGAAGGTGCTGAGGAGTCCTGGGGCAGACCCTGAGGCTTCTCTAGCTCGGACAGTGGGCCAAACCCGGAAGGCCTGGGCGGCTCAGGTTCCACGGAGCATCTCTGTCCCAAGCTGCAGCTCGCAGTCTCCTAGAATTCTCCGTGCTCCCCCTGGATTTCGGTTCTCACCGTGACCACAGCGGGTCCTGGAGAAACTGCCCCAGCCACAGCCCTCTCTTCCTACGCGTCTCACTTCCCGGCATCTCGGTTAGGACCGATTCGACCCGTTATGCACACCTGACCCAAAGGGAGCCTGTCTATTGGCTGAAGAGCAACCAATGACCATTTGGCTTTGATTAGGCTGGTCAGCTAGACCTATCACATTTTCTGTTTCAGAAAATACCAATGGGGATCCAGTGATTTTTAGGCAAAGCAGAGCGAGACTGTGGGGCCCTCGACAGTCAGCGAGTGGGTGATGCCGGCTGACTGTTTTGAGGCGTGGTCGCAGGATGCCCAGATGCGCTGTTGTCAGCCCTTGGGTTTCGTCAGTCCTTGGGTTTCATGAGATCTTCGTCCCTCGCCCCCTTTAAGTTTCAGGGGTGTCTAGAGGAGCTTTGATTAAAGCACCCTCTCCACCCATTTGCTCATCCCGTCTGAGGTGCTGTTTGGCTTCTGGCTTGGGGCCCAGGCACCCATGAGAGCGGAGCACTGGCAGGACTGACATGATCGTTTTCCCTCCCCCGAGGGCTTGGGCTGCTCTTGGTCACATGTTGATATCAAGTCCCATCTCCCAGGCACTGCCTAAACCCAGCCCCAGAGCCTTCTGCTAAATAATCCAAGCAAGGGGAGTCTGGGTAATGTTGGTCAAACCATGAAGTCGTGGAGAAACTGGTGAGCCGTGAACCTGATGTGCAGTCTAGCACTGACTGCCAGAGACCTGTCACTGAGTCCCCCACTCCACGGAAGCCACCTCTGACTGGGGACCTGTTCCCATCCAATCGGACACCACTGTGCCCCTCTCTTTCCCTCTGGCAGCTTCCTCAATGCTCCCCTCCAGCTATGCCCCCCTGGACATGGACCAATAGTCTTCCGAGTTTGCCCCCATACCGCGGGCTCCTTTCCTATTATTTTGTGATCTGGGTGATGTGGGGAGAAAGCGCCAGGCCTACACCTCGGGCTTCTGCAAAGTTGTCACCAGTCAGGAACATAGACCAGTCCATCCTCTGGCTTTCTCTCCCCACACACCCACCACCAGAGACAGGTTTCATCATTCCCACTCCCCTCACCTCAAGCTTCATCCCAGCACCTGCCCCATCCTGAGACCTGTAGGCTCAGGGAAGGTCTTTCAGGGATTCCCTCTTCTCAGCAAGATCTACCTGACTCCCCCGGGTGGCCTTTTTGGTTCCCAAGAGATAATAAGCAGAGAAGCCACTATAACTCCTTGTGAGAAGAGACAAGAAGTTTTGTTCTTCTCCGAGTCCTCAGTGCCAAGAACAGTACTTGGCACACAATAGGGGCTCATAAATATAATGACCATATAATTTGTCCTTCAAACCAGAAAATTTTAAGAGAAAAGGGTGTGCTATCATAATTATGCAGGGACAAGAGGCATAAACTGGAACTGTCCCAGTCAAACCAGGATGAATGCTCACCCTATCAATTATGTCTGCCAACTGAGTGAACACAGCTAATGGCCCATTCCTGAACAGGGCTCAGTGCCCTGCTGAGCAAAAACCCCCTCTTGTCAGCTTCAAATGGCTGGCGCTTTGCAGTCTACCAGGATTCAGTGAGTCGGTTGGTAGGGAGAAGAGAGTGAAAAGGAGATGAAGCATCTTTTTTTTTTTTTTTTTTTTTTTTTTTTTTTTTTGTGGTGGTTTGCTGCATCTATTGTCCCATCATCTACATAAGGTATTTCTTCTAATGCTATCCCTCCCCAATCCCCCCACATCCTGATATTCCTCCCCTAGCTCCCCCACCCTCCAGGCCCTGGTATATGATGTTCCCCTCCCTGTGTCCGTGTATTCTCATTGCTTAACACCCATTTATCCGTGAGAACATGCAGCATTTGTCTTTCAAAAATAGCTTGCACCCATGGACCTTTTCTTCCCCTGCATCAGTGCAATTTGCCCTGTGATTGTGCAATACCTTCCCACTGGGACAAGACACAATTTCCATCCTTTGAGGCATAGACATGACATGCTTCAGACACAGACTGAAAAGAGTCTTGGAAAGTGCTTGCACACTTGGGTTCTCTTCCGCTTGTGGCTCTCTGGCATCATGAGAAGCATATGTCCACATGAGCCCTAGGGTCCCAGGAGGAGGATGAGGGATGTGACGGGCAGAGTCCAGCCTCGGTCAGCCAAACTAGCTGGTGTGTAGATCTGTAAGGTTTTAAGCCTCTAGGTTTGAGAATGGCTTGTTATGCTGAATTTTTGGCAATACTAACTATTATACAACCCCCACCTCCTGCCACCACCACTCCTAGGTCCTAATCATAAAAAGGCAAAGAGTCTCCTTTCCTGTGCATCTTGGGGGCATCATACTTCTCCATGGAGTCCTGTATCTCCCAAAATCCTCTTTTCAGAGGGACTGGAAGGAAGGGAGAAGGGTCATCATGGGCCTCCCAGCTCTTTAGCAGGCTGAAGACACCGAAGCAGCTGGAACAGATGACCTGTTAATTCCCTTCAAGGCAAAAGGTCTATGCTTCCTGGAGGAGGCAAAAGGAGAGAACAGGTCTGGAGCCTGGAAGTTCCAAAGGCCCCCTCATCCAGGGCTCCCTCCCTTCCCTTGGGTGCCCTCAGATGAAGAAGCCAAGAGAGACTGACTTCCTGAGAGAGACTGAGCCATAAGGTGTAGACAGAAGGTCCGAGATGGAAAAAAGGATATTTCTTTAGTGGTTTAGGACATTGCCTTTCCTTCAGCATGATGGCAAGAATACATCCCTTATGTGGTCCTGCACTGCTTAGGGAGCCAGCTGTACAGTGGCTGGAGAGAAGCAGGCACTGAGCCAAACTGAGCCAGTTCAGAGGCAGCACCCCTCCTCAACCTCCAGAAGGGACCCAGAATCCCTGCTGGAATCTCTGCATCTTCATTAAACCTGTTTGTCCCCTTAAGAAAAACTGTAAGCTCTATTCTTCCACTTGGTTACACCTGTGTTTTAAAATAGTTTATAATATTTGAGTGAAGAAAATCAGATTTCATCATCTTGTTTCCTCCTGTTTTTATTGAAGATATACAGTATTTCAGCTGCACTGTGAACAAAGCCAGCTTTGATGAGCTTCTCTGAAGGACCCACCAATGACAACATCGTTTCTCTTGAAAAATGCATTGTGAATTCTACGCAACAGTCATAAACATGGCCTATTAGAATCTTACCCATTACCACGTGGCACCTTTCCATGTTTCCAAAGCTATATATTTCTAGTGGCAACCTGCATTTCGATAAGACATAAATAACCCCGAATTTTCCCAAGGCATCTTTTACTAACATGAAGCATTATTTATTTAACTTGAAAAAGAATAGGAAAAATATGTTAACATTTTCCTAGGCATTTCTTTCCCATGGTTCAATATAATCCAATCCCAGATGCGCGAAAATTTCTTCCTCAGTTTCTGCTTTGAGAAATATCCTCTGAAAACATAACAAGAAATATGTGCATTAGATATTTTCCATAAGCACCATGGTGTGGACACCGTGAAAGTGTTACTTATAAAACTGCCTTGTCAGAATGAATTATAGCCCAAACATAATTCCCTGCTTCCAAGTATACAAAGTCATTTTAACTGACTTTCCAAAATATGGTACTAAATGAATTAGGCGAAATCATAACAGCTTTAATGTATTCAGCAAAAGCCATTTGGATATTTTTCCTATGGGCTGTAGCTCTGAACCACAGCTGTTTATTAGAACAACCTGATGGAGTTTAAAAAATAAACATTGAAGCTTGAGTCATTTGCCAGTCCAGTGAAATCAGAAGCTCAGGAGAGGTCTTATTTATTTGAAAGCACTGGGTAATTCTAACATGCAGTCATAATTACATACTGCTGATAATCACAGGATACTTGTATGTGTTGGGTATTCCTCTAGCTTTCTATGCTTGCCTCTAGCCCCGGCAGGATCCTACCCTATGATATCTTCAAGAGCAAGCAGCTCTTCTTCTCCATCCCTTCTTGTACAAAGCACAGTGCTAGGCATATAGAAGTTACTTGCTTACATTGAACTATTTAGCATGTTAATTTGCAAGTGTTCCTTCATTGTACTGTGTGAATCTGCCTTCACCTACAAGCTCAGCATCCAAGGCTTTCCTGCCAGCATCCACAGCTCCCTCTCCTGTGAGCAGCACCTGGATTTTTCTTTCTTTCTTTCTTTCTTTTTTTGAGACAGAGTCTTGCTCTTTCACCCAGGCTATAGTGCAATGGCGGGGTCTTGGCTCACTGCAACCTCCGCCTCCCGAGTTCAAGTGATTCTCCTGCCTCTTTTTGTATTTTTGGTAGATACGGGGTTTCACCATGTTGGCCAGGCTGGTTTCAACACCTGACCTTGTGATCTGCCCACCTCAGTCTCCCAAAATGCTGGGATTACAGGCATGAGCCACCATGCCCAGTGCACGTGGATTTTTCTATGGCAAATCACTCCTCTTGACTCTCAGTCCAGGAGGGTTACCTGGAGCTGCTCCCAATTCCAAGAAGAAGCACATGACCCAAGTCTGGCCAATCAGAGCCACAGTAATGGGTTCAGGGATAGGCACACCACCCAGGCCAGGCCAAGGAGTATCAGCTAGGATTCTTGAGGGAATTATTAGGAAAGAGGCTCTTAGCCTGGCACCGTGGCTCAGGCCTGTAATTCCAGCATTTTGGGAGGCTGAGTCGGGTGGATCACTTGAGGTCGGGAGTTCAAGACCAGCCTTGACTAACATAAAGAAACCCCATCTCTACTAAAAAAAATACAAAACTAACCAGTGGTGGTGCATGCCTGTAATCTCAGCTATGCAGGCGGCTGAGGCAGGAGAATGGCTTGAACCTGGGAGGTGGAGGTTGTGGTGAGCTAAGATCACGTCATTGCACTCCAGCCTGGGCAACAAGAGCGAAACTCTATCTCAAAAAAAAAAAAAAGAAAAAAGAGAGAAGAAAAAAAGGGAAAGAGGCTCTTGTCTGTTGGAGTAACTGTAAGAGTGGGACTAATGGGAAAACCTGCCTGAGAATAAAGCCAAAGCTGAGGGAAGCCTGCCTGAGCACCCATATTTAGCCACCCCTCAACCCTTGGATACTGCAGTATATAATCCAAGTTCCCTTTTTTGTTTATGCCACTTTAGATTTGATTTCTGACATTTGTAACTGAGACAACTCTAGCTGAATACACCTCATTGAGACTACAAACTCCTACAGGGAAAGGATCATTGCTTTCTTTTTTTTCTGTCACAGAGTCTCACTCTGTTGCCCAGGCTGGAGTGTAGTGGTGTGATCTTGGCTCACTGCAGCCTCCACCTCCCAGATTCAAGCGATTCTCCTGCCTCAGCCTCCCGAGTAGCTGGGATTACTGGCACGAGCCACCACACCTGGTTATTTTTTGTATTTTTCGTAGAGGCGAGGTTTCACCATGTTGGCCGGGCTGATCTTGAACTCCTAACCTCGTGACCCCCTGCCTCGCCTCCCAAAGTGCTGGGATTACAGACGTGAGCCACTGCGCCCAGCCAGTACCATTACTTCTAGTTATTTTGAGTCTTCTTCCCCCCAGAGCCTATTTTGGTGTTCTTGATCACTGTAAAAAGAGTAGCCCTTACAACTTGTGGATTTAACAGTTGGATGTTTAACTCTTTATAACTTCTACAGTATCTATCATTTTGCTGAGGCATGAATTGGATCGTGACCACAGTAAGACTAGCACACCAAATGAATGACGTAGCTGGTCAATGAGGCTAGCTGGCTGCTCATTCATGTCTCAGGGCAGCTCTGTTGCTCTCTTTCTTGCAGAAGACTGTCATTAATGGCCTGCATGGCCACTCAAAATGCCACTGCTCCCTGCATTTGAGGGGTATACAAGTAGTATTTGTGATTTCTGAGGATTTCTGGTTACTTTGGAGTTACTCATTGCCAACACTAAGGATATACCAAACCCAGTTAATGTTCACTGCTGGACTGGTTCTGGAAGCCCAATTAGCTCATCATCTTTCAGCCAAAAGCTCTTGAAGTGCATTCTGGGCGAGGTGGAAACTGTGACTCTGTGGAAATCTTTCCTGCTGTCCTCAACTATGATCAACTGGAAGTGGAACACGCATAACAAAGGAAACCATACCTGGACGCTAAAATCAGTTCATGAAAAGAGCTCAGGGGGCCAGCCTTGGGGATGAGGATCAAAGTAGCCCATTTTAGGAAGAGAATTGTACCTTGGTCTTGTCATATAAAGCATGGTTATCCAGAATCATCTTCCGCTCATGTGTGGCATAGCGCCGGAGGTCTCTCTCAAACTGCTGGATAGGAGATAGTTAAAATAAATTATCATCACACCTAGAATGTCTTCAGTATTAGGTGGCTACATCCCTGTAGTGAAATATCTAACTCCATTAAACATTCTCAAAGTGATTTTCCTCCCCCAGGGCCAAGCTCTCTGGTGACAGAGGTCCGTATTCACACAAGCACACTAGAATGTAAGCTCTGTGAGGGCAGGAACCTGGTTTGTTCTGTCCACAGCCATATTCCCTCAAATAGTGCCACACGTGTAGAAGATGTATGGCAAATGTTTCACTGAATGAATAAATGGAAAGCGTGAGCATTGTACTAGACTAATGCTTGGTCCAGAGTAGATGCTGGATAAATAATAGTTTGGTGGGTTCAAATGATTTGGAATATTGTTATTGTAAAAGAGAATGGAGGAGTCAGGCAACCCATTCCAGCCTAGATTTTGTCCCTACCTGGCTGTGCATCTCCTGTCAAGTCATCCAGACTCCCTGAATCTTGATTGAGTGAATGAAAGGATGGAGGAAGGACATAACTAAGGCTCCCTCTGGCTTTAACATCCTTTCATACTGAGATGCCATGAAACTCATGGTCTAAGTCACCTGCTCCTGGATGACATCTCCCACAGTCAGGAATGGGCTCTGAGACTAAAGGGAGCCACACATGAAGCCTAAGACAGAGGAACAGGGACACCTTGGGAAAGGAGGGCAATGAATTGTCACGGAGGCTGCTTTTCCTGAGAAACACAATCCAGAAATTTTGTCCTCTTGTGGGATTAGGGAGCAAACCTGGGATACTGGCGCCCTCTAGTGGTAAGGAACAATTTCCTATTTTAGGAACGCTAACCCCGGCTGGGTGAGAAGATGGACTTTGCAATTAGACGTCCTTCATTTGTTTGAAGTCACCCAGTGGCTGCGCATGTGGTGGCTCACACCTATAATCCAAGCACTTTGGAGGCCAAGGCGGGCGGATCACCTGAGGTCGGGATTTCAAGACCAGCCTGACCAACATGGTGAAACTCCGTCTTAAAAATAAATAAATAAATAAAATAAAGTCACCCAGCTAAAAAACAAAAAGAGCTTAGTGCTGTACCAGTGCCTTGCAGAACCAACAGCAACAATTTCTGACAACTCGAGAAAAGAGACAAGAACATGCTGAAAACATGTCCATCTTAAAAATAAAATGGGCAAAGGTCAACCACTTCAGCCAGTGATGCTTAACTGGCATGACCTTGCATAACCAAGGACTTCTTTCTGGAACTTTCCCCTTTCTCAATTGACTCTGTGTTCCCAAAGATTTATGTCTATCAGAAAAATGCATTTATTGTTTCTTCCTCCTTTTTTAAGAACGATAGAAGCATTTAGTTGTCAGTCAACACTTCTCATTAGAGTAAGAAATCCCAGTGCTAAGATGCTGTGCTGAAATAATTCCAGCCCAAAGCAAAGACACCTGACATTTAACCCAAATCTGAGAACAACTAATTTGTGTTATGTCAGTCATCTGCATAAAACCCTCTACACAAGCTCATTTCACTCAAAGCAATGGCCAGCTACCTGGGGAAACAGGAGAAACAGGGTGAGGTGTTTAGTTGGGAGGGTGGAACACATGTGAATGGGACTCAAATCACAGGTGTCCTCTGCTGTGAATGGCAGTAGGTGGGAGCTACTGCTTATCTAGTACTGGCGACGTGCTGGCTGGGTGCTGAGGCTTTGAGAACGTCATCTCACCTACTGTCTCTGCAACCCAAGAAAGTAGCTAAGGTCATCGTGGGAAAATGGAGTTTTACAGGATAAAGGGAACCTGTCCAAGATCATTCAACAGTAAAAAGCAGAGCAGCAGCTTATAACCAGGTCTGGGAGGAACCCAGCTTGTGCTCTTTTAAAAAAATGTTATAGCTTGATTTTATTTTTATTAACATATAACAATTGTAAGTGTTTGGGGGTTACAATATGATATTCTGATACATGTATATACATTGCAGAATGATAAAATCAGACTAATTAGCATGTCCATCCCTTCAAACATCTACCATTTCTTTGTGGAAAGAACATTAAAAATCCTCTCTTTTAGTTTCTTTGTACATTATTATTAATGTACATTATTAATGTATCTTCTGTAGTACATTATTATTAACTATAGTCACTATACTGTGCAATAGAACAAAGCTTACTCCACCTCTCCGACCAGAACTTTGTACTTGTTGACCCTTTTCCCTGTCCATTTTCTGCCCTCACCTCCTAGCCTCTGCTAACCACGACTTTACATTCTATTCTCTACTTCTGTGAATTTGACTTTTTTAGATTCCACATGTACAGAAATGAGATCATACAGTATTTGTCTCTCAGCATCTGACTTACTCCACTTAACATAATGTCCTCTAGGTTTGACCATGTTGCCTCGAATGACAGAATGTCCTGTTTTCAAAGGGCTGTGTCATACTCCACTGTGCATATATACCACATTTTAAAACTCAATTCATCTGTTGTGGATGCTTAGATTGTTTTTACCTAGTATCTAGGCTATCGTGTATCACGCTGCAAAGAACACAGGAGTACAGACCTCTCTTTGACACGCTGAGTTCATTTCCTCTGGATATATGCCCAGAAGTAGGATTGCTGGATCATATGTTGGCCCTATTTTTAGTTTTTTGAGGAACTTCCACACTATTTTCCAAAGTGTAATTTACAATACCACCAACAGTTTAAGAGGGTTCCCTTTTCTCCAGTCTCACCAACACTTGCTGTCTTTCATGTTTTTGATAATAGCCAATCTGACACATGTGAGGTAACATCTCACTGTGGTTTTAATTTGCATTTCTCTCATGATTACAGATGTTAGGCAAGATGGCAATATCTAGTTGCCATTTGTACGTCTTCTTTCGAGAAATGTCTTTTCAAATCCTTTGCCCATTTTTAAATAGGGTTATTTGTTTTCTTGTTATTGGGCCTTTTGGCTTCTGTGTATATCCTGGATAACGGCCCCTTATCTGATGTATGATGCGCAGGTATTTTTTTCCCAATCTGTGAGCTGCCTCTTCACTTTATTGTTTCCTTTTTCAACCCCCTTGCCAGTTTCTGTACTTCAGTGGTTCTCCCACTTGAGCTGCATCAGAAACACCTGGAGGCCTTTTTCAAACACAAATTTCTGGGCTGAAATCCCCAGAGATTCTGATTTGATTCCACAGTTTTGGAGTAGGGTGAAGAATTTCCATGTCTAACCTGTTCCCGGGTAAGGCTGCTGCTGCTGGTGTTGGGGACCACACACTGGGAATAACTGCTCTAAATTAATCTGTCATACTTGATCATGTGTGCACAGGATGCCTTGATTTAGAGGTTGCTAGGTACTGCCCCCTCCCCTGTCACCCAGCTCCTGCTGCCATCATCTCTCCCCTGGGCCTAGGTAGACTCGACCTACATCTTTTGGAAGGCTAACATCATCCCATGGGTCCACATTGCGCTTACCCGGGAGCCAGTCCATCCCAACAGGGCGAAGGCACGACGCTCGTAGGGGCACATGACTAAATCCACACGGATGGCCTTCCAGGTCTTTCCCTCCTGCCAGCTGGGCTGGTCACTGTCCAGTCTTTGACGAGGCAATTTGAAAATCAGAAAGCACTTTTGAAAATGATCCAAAGCATCAACCTTCCTGCTAGGCAACCTGAGCTTTTCAAACGTTGACTCCACAAGATCATAATATAAAACTAATCCCTGAAAACAAACAGAATGGTGTTAGGAAAAGGCCCTGATGAAGAGGATCAATGATTTTATACTGGATTCTTAATGAAATCTTTACAGATTTGAGCAGAACATGGGCATGTGTTTGGCCTTGCATTACAGGTCCAGCTGCAAACACTAGGAGAAAAAAAACAAGGAAGTGGTTCCATTAACCATCCTCTGCAGAAAAGGAATTTAGCAATGAGAGAGGCTGAGGCAAAGCCACTTAGTGGCAAAACTGCAAAAACATTTCTCTCTCCACTTCTGAGCCTCCCTCAGTCCTTTAAAAACAAACCAACCATAAACAAAAAGCCATGTGGAGGAATTTCAGACCAGCCTGGCAACATAATGAGACCTCATCTTTATATAAAATTTAAAAATTAGCCAGGGATGATGGCACACGTCTGCAATCCCAGCTACTCGGGAGGCTGAGGTGAGAGGATCCCTGGAGCCTGGGAGGTTGAGGCTGCAGTGAGCTATAATCACACCACTGCACTCTAGCCTGGGATACAGTGCAAGACCCTGTCTCAAAAATAAATAACTAATGAAATAAAAATTCGTATTATTTCCAGAGGGGCAGCTTTGAGTTAATGTCTGCTATAGTTTGGATGTTTGTCCCCCTAAACCTCACGTAGAAATTTGATCTCAAATGTTCAAGGTGGGGCCTGATGGGAGGCCTTTGGGTCACAGGGGAAGATCTCCCATGAATGACCTGGTGCCATCCTCCTCCTCATGGCAATGAGTGAGTTCTTACTTTGTTAGCTCCCATGAGAGCTGGGGGTTACAAAGAGCCGAGCCCCTCCCCACTCTCTCTTGCTTTCTTTCTCACCCTGTGACCTCTGCACCTGCCGTTCCTCCTTGCCTTCTGCCATAAGTGTAAGCCCCCTGAGGCCTCACCAGAAGCAGGTGATTGGTGTCATGCTTCTTACACAGCCTGCAGAACCATGGGCCAAGTAAATCTTTTTTCTTTATTAATACCTAGCCTCAGGTACTCCTTTATAGCAATGTAAATGGATGAAGACAGTGTCATATACTGATGACCAGGTTTAACCAGTCCAAAGTGTTGTAGCTGGAGGCTGAGTAACGTCGGGGCAGGATGACTTGCTATTTCTAGGTAGCACTTGGGAAGCTCTTTCTCATAAAAGTGTTACTCTGCCTGCCTTGGAGAAAATGGGATAAAGTTAACCACATACGTTTCATCTAAAGTTGTCTATCCAGAAAGTTGACAAGTGATTCTAAGCTGTGCCCATCGAGTTGCCATTCTCGGTGGGAGTTCCTGATGGCACAGGGCAGATGTGGGGAAGGGAAAGAGAAAGTGCTATTAACCGCTTAATCTGGCAACAAAAACACCAAATAACCCTCAAATCATGTCATCATAGCTGCTGGGATGTGTGATTTGTTACCATGCACTCTTTAGATTAGATGTTTAAAAGTTTTATCATCAGAAGCATTTGGAAGATTTGCTAAAGCACAGTTTGCAGGGCTCTGTCCCCAGAGTGATGCAGTAGGGGGCAGGGAGGGCATTTCCAGCAGGTTCCCAGGTGATGCTGATGTTCCTGGGTCAGGGACCACACTCTGGGCATCATTGGTAAATTGATTATTGTTAGGAATCATGCTTTGCATTTCTTCTACAAACCTGCAAAATACATTATTTCAATTCAAAAAGATACTTTTTATTCTGTTGACCTCAAAAGAGGGAACTCTTCACCCTCCAATGCCTCGAAGAACAAACACCATTTGAAGGGTGAAGCACCAATGATAGGAAGAACCTCTGGAGGAGGAGTAGATGTTGCCATAGTTAACCTCCAATAACCAGCTCAGAAAAACACAAGTCTACTTTTAAGGAAACTTGCTAAAACTAGTACACTATAGCAGCCTTTTGTGTAAATTTCAATGATGTAAATTTGAAAAGAGAGAAATAAAAATATGAACAAGTGTCACATTAAAGCCAAATTTGTAATAACACGGCCTCCTTAGGAAAAAAAAAGCCCACAAAGCTGGATTCCTAATAGTAAGCTGCTTGTGTCACTGTCACATGGTGATGACACTTGGTGGGTAATAGAGAAATGGGCCATGCTTTATTGGGTTTTGTCTTGAATTTTGCAAGGTGTTTGGGAATGCATCCTTGAACATAATGCTCCTGCCTGCATGTTCAGAAGGTTATCTGCAGGAGGGTACACTTGTCAAATATGCACACAATCCCTGCTGCCACCTCTAGATCTCCAGCCCTGGTTATCTGCTGGGCAGCCCTCTGGGCTCTGGCTTCCCCATCAATACCCACTGGTTGAATGAATATTTACATCAGCATGTTCTTTTATTTTTCCTACCGGACACTGAGAAACTCCTGACTAGAAGGAAGAATTTCCCTGCTCCTCTGTCCCTGCCATCCTCCCCAGAGTGCAGAGCGGCCGATTCTCAGGAAGAGAACTGTAAAGCAGGAGGGAGACGCACTCAGCTTGACCTACCACAGGAAAAAGGCTCCATCTGAATTTAGTCTCAGGCGCCTTCTGAGGAGGGCTGCGAAGCTTAGTGTGAGGCTCTCTAGCCAGGATTCCTTTCCTGCCCTTTGCTTCCAATTCCCTCCAACTCCTTCTGGGACAACTCAGTGCCCAGTATTCAAACTCAAGTCAGTTTCTTAAAGTGAATACATTCTTTACCCTCTAATGTCTGTCAATACAATCCACCTCCCAGCAGTTCCATGACCTAGAGATGTGGCCACATAGAACAGTGAGGGTCCTGTACCCAGGGTCTCACCCACCAGGCGGGAACCAAAACCAGAGCCATTTAACCTCCCCTCTTTGGATTGAACCACTGGTGCTAGTGAGAACTCAGGCTAATGGAGTCTTTGGGGATGTCAGTCCTCCCCGCAAGATGAATATTTCCAAGATTTTTGCTTCCCTGTCTCCCATCCCTGATCAAAGGGTTTCCTACAAAGATCACATTTAGAGTCATCTGATGGGTGACTCGAATGGATACCATTGGTTATTCACTATGCTTTGCAGGTGTTTTGAAACACTGGATGTGTATGTTGTCCATGTTGTGAGAGAATGTACAGGTGTATACCTGTGTGCACTTTATAATCTAGAAAGTGCAGTCTTTGGTAAGCATGGCAGGGCATGGGAGTGAGGCAGAGGCGAAAACTAAATATGAAGAACTTGACCGGTGCAGTGGCTCACGCCTGTAACCCCAGTGCCTTGGGAGGCAGGTGGGTCACAATGTCAAGAGGTCAAGACCAGCCTGGCCAACATGGCGAAACCCCATCTCTATTAAAAATACAAAACTTAACTGGGTGTGGTGGCACATGCCTGTAGTACCAGCTACTCAGGAGGCTGAAGCAGAATTGCTTGAACCCAGGAAGTGGAGGTTGCAGTGAGCTGAGATCGTGCCACTGAACTCCAGCCTGGCAACAGAGTGAGACTCCATATATACATATATTTCATATATAGACAAATTCCTTATATATATATATATGAAGAACTCATCTGCTGATTTCACTACCCTGGCACTGTGGGAAGGCCTGGAGCTGCAGGGGTCTAGTCAGGGCTGAGACACCAAATTGCAAACTGCCCCACAGCTCCTCCCTGCTGTCAATGTGTGTCAGTTAGTGAAGGGGAAGACTAAGTCCCTACCCACTCCTGAGTCCCTTCGCCTGGTCCAGTGCCAGCCTTTCAGGCAGAGTTCAATAAATAATTGTGCATGAGAGATAATGATAACAGTCATCACCATTTGTTAGGCTTTTGCCATTCGTCGGATACTGCACCAAGTGCTTTATCTAATTCTTTCATTTAATCTGCTCCTTTAATTAATGAGAGAAGCTTGTTACCCCTGTTTTACAGATGAGGAAAGTGAAACTTTGAAAGGTTAAGTAACCCATTCCAAGTCATATAGCTAGTGAATGGTGGGCTATGCTTTTAAAATCCCAAATGTAAAACTCACATCTTACATTAACATCAGCCTCTGCTGCAGTGCCTGCATATAAAACGTCCATCCCTGCTTGGGACCAGTAGTCAGTGTGATTTCCCTAAGGAAAGACCAATGGAAAGAGGACTCTCTGCTGCTATCTCTCTACCCCATTCCAGTCTTTAATAGTGTTGGCATGGGAAGGGGAGGGTGCCAAGGTCAGATGGGTCCATTTTAGCAAGGCCTCCAGGTAAGGAGTCAGGCAGCCCACTCCCTTCCAGGCCTCAGCTAGCAGGGTCCACAGGCTGTGCTCCCTTGTCTATCAATGAGAATCTTTCATCTTTCCTGCTTGAGTCACTTCACTGATTCTTCCTTGTGCCACCATCCCCTGGCTTGGTCTATTATGTTCACTCTTAGGGCCACTGGCTGCCCTGTGTTCATTCTCCTGAGAGGGACAGAGGGGGTTTGGGATGGCCTCGGAGATGAACTTGGATCTGGCTCTAAAGTTGAGTCTTCACTTCCAGTGCTCCTGGCCCTAGGGTTGTGTTTCTAGCTCTTATTTTCACTTTATCTGAGGCCTTCCCTTTCTGGGATATGAGTGAGCTTGGTCCACACCCAACAGATGCAAACTACTCAGAAAGGATGAAGCCGTGGAGAGAAACACAAGCTGGTCCCGAGGGTAGGGCCCTCTGGTCTCTCTGGGAGATGGCGCTCTCACTAGAGTTAGACAGGAGTCAGGGTCTGCATGTGGCTCTGGGTGCAGGGTTAGCTTAGCTTACTTTGGTTTCCTCCACCAGGCAATAGGCCTGTCACAAGTCTGATCTTCCCAGTGGATGAGGGTTGCTGGGCCATGACCTCTGTGGGGCTCAGCTTGCCCTCATTAGTTTCCTTCATTCCATCTCAGCACAAAGTCAAGATGGTAATTGACCAGCACAGAATTCAAGGCACTATCAACACCTCTTAGACTGATTTCATCCCAGTCTTTGCAGTCCTGCCCCCCCACCCAAGCTTGCAGCTTTCCAGCTCACACTTCCCAGGACTTCAAAGTGCATGCTTTTCACTTTGTTTGGGTGCTTTAATGCCTCTGCATGTCAAACACAAATGCATAGCCACGCTTGGCCCTGTTGGCAATAGGTAAGTATAACTAAACAAGATCTAGGACATATTCATAACATGTACTTTAGGACCCAAAACAGGAAACTCTTATTGCAGGTCATATGGCTTTGTATAGGCTGCTAGAAATAATTGAGAATTGATTAGATGGTCATTACATAAATATAAGGCAAGCAATGTGCAAAATTCAAGTGTTCACATAATGTTTGAGTGTGCATGTATTTTCCATCTTTCTTCTCACCTTCTTTTCCCATAAGTTCATCACTTTCTGTAAAAGTTGTTCTTCATCCTCTGTTGATCCTGGGCTGGTAATTAAAAAATCTACATCATGTCCCATCTTCTTACCCCTAATTTTAAAAAGCAATATAAAATAGAAACCAATTAGATTTTTAGTCTTCATTAAAAAAAAAAAATCACCTTTGTTTCTATGCCCTATGCTTAAGATTTGCAACACAGAGGCTCTCGACTTTTTTAAAGAAACAAAACATCTTTGGTTACACATCTCTATTCCTTGCAAAATAGATGTATGACACAGAAAAAGTCATATACAGCATGTCTGTGATTATGTGTATCTGGGCAAAAAATAACAAAAAATTGTTTCTTCTACACACACAGACCTATATACAACCACACATACACACGTGGAGACAAGCATAACAACAAGCAAATCAAGAACTGTATTCACATAACACAAGGTACCACTACTGGAATTATGACATGGAGTAAAGGCATTATCTTACATTCCATTTTCTCCTACTTTCTCCCTTGCCTCAAACCTATTTTGTTAGAATCGCCAGCAGCCACCATGTAAGAGGGCTGGAGAAAGAGGTGGAGGAGGCTGTGGGAGGAAAGAAATCCCTTTCTGAAATGTAGGCCTCAATATTCAACGACTGCACACGTCCCTGTGAAGCATTCACTCATTCCTGAATTCATTCAGTCAGTCATTCATTGACTCAATCAAGATTTCTTGAGCACCTAGGCTTTGAGCACCTTTGTGCTAGGCATCAGGCACTAGTCTTGCTAAGAACTAAGCTCTATAAACTTAGAGAAAACACACACAGAAATCGCTGTGGATCAAGGGCTTTGCAGGTGTTCAGGGAGCATGGAAGAGGGGTCTCTAATCCAGCATGGAGAAGGAGTGAGTCAAGGAAGGCTTTCTGGAGGAGGTGCCATCTAAATTAAGTCTTAAAGAATGAGAAGTCAGCCAAGCGACAATTTGAGGAATGGCAGTCAAAGCAGAAAAAGTCTGAGTAAGCAAAGAAATAAGGCAAGAAACAGTTCTGAATGTGCAGGGGATGACAAGCCATTTGGGGTTGCTGAAATGAGATGTGAGGGAGACAAAGCTGCAGAAAGAAGCCGCCACCAGATAACAAAAGGCTTTTTGTGCCATTTCAGATGCCTGTCCGAGTCAGGGAGCCACTGAAGGTATTAGGGCAGAGGAGGCAAAGCCACCCAAGTTATTTACCTTCGGAACCCTCCTGTCATGGTGACGAAAGCATCTGGAAGAAATGCCCAGACAGCCTCTTTAACCAGCACACTGACGGCCTCTGCTTCTGCTCTGGTCACACAGCTGACAAGGTCTTCATAATACAGAAATCCTGAGAGGCCATTTGACAGGGCAATGGAGAGAGTGACATGCACGTGAAACAACCAACCCTCAGTGGAAGGGGATCCTGTCCCCAGAAGAGAGCTAACATGACCGCAAGCATCAACACCAAACTCCATTTCCATAGAGACAAAGTAATCCATGTGATTCTTCTGACTGTGAATTTTGTAAGGAAACAATGGTCTTTGCTTTCTAACTGAGAGGCTTACAATTTCCTAAGAAGGAGACAGTGTTTCATATCCCTCTGGTATCCAAACTGTTGAAATCTGATTTCCTACTGAAGAACCAGCCTTCTTGGTCAATAAAAAGGTAATGTTTAAAGATTTAGGATGAGGAGATTTACAGATGAAAGGTGATGGATCCATTAAAAAATTAAAATCAAGAATAGGAGCAGGGTAGATGTGTATCGGAAGCAAGGCAGGAAATATCTTAGGTGGTTTAGCTTGTTGTTTCTTTGCCTGACCACATGAATTAATGAAAGGTCAGTTATGATGATGAAGAGTTAATGACTTGGTGATTCCCACAGAGCGGTGTGGAGGGAGATTTGAGGGGAAGAGCAAAGGAGAAGGGAGGCTTATCTCCAAGGTTTGGGGTGTACTATTGGCGAGGAAATGAGCCGGGTGATTAGATCCACGGAGCCTGAGGGACATCGAATTCTGCTTCATCATCACTGTTCTTCTATCTAGGGTCTCCAAGAGAGGGCCATTCAAACTCTGCTTGATTCCAATAATGGGGAGCTCTGACACCTCCAGAGGAGCCTGTTTCCTAACTGTAAACTCTGTTGCACCAGTTCTTCTTTTGAAAAGCTTACGTCTACTCCTTTGCGATTTCACCTACCACTGGCCCTCTGAAATGACAACAGTAAGTCTATTGGTCCTTGTTTCTCACCCTGGGATTGTGGAAGGGAGGCAGCAGGGTGGCCATTTGGCTTGAACATTCCGCCAAACATCCTACGTTATCTCTAATGGGGACAGTCACAGAAACATGCTGCAAGACCAAGAGAAAATGGTATTCATATGAATACACGTATAAACTGTGTCCAATACCAAACTACACCACTTGTGGAACACTAATTTCTTTATATCAATACTAATACTTATTTTTTATTTTTGTAAAAAGCCACATTTCTAAAAATTATTGCAACATGACCACTTTTGTGAGCGTGAGGAGTTTGATCTAAGAATCATGCTCTATTATGCCCTAATACAGAAACTGCCATCATGACTAATATTCAAAGTACAACTCAGTGGGTAACCACATACATCTGTGCTTTATGGAGCGATATGCATAATCCAAAAGTCAGGATTCGCGACTATTTCTTTAACATGTGCAGATATTAGAAATGAACATGTAGGACTATGATAATCTCTTGACATTCATGAAACTGATTTAAGTGGCTTTCCTTTTTGGTATGGCAGGGCGATTAACTTATTACAGAAAACTTATCACACTGTATAAGGTTAAATATGTGCTGCTATAGGTCATAAATTGACTTTTCAAGGCAAATATGGCATGTGCATGCTCAAGCCTCAGGGAACGTAATCAAGTACGACTATAAGTAAAACTGAATCTGGTTTTCCATCTGATCCAGGAATCGTACTTTCAGTGTGTTCAATTAGCTTACCCTTGGCAGTATTCTATGCAATTCCCATTGACAATTCCATTCATTGCCGTGCTGCTTCGAGGGGTGCTTATAACCACTTTGGGGGTATAAGTATAATGGGAGGGCATTCCTTGATTTCTGCATAGAACTGGTGGCATTAAACAGTCCGATGGGAATCACTGATTGACTAAATGAATAAAGCTGGTTCATTCAAAGGGTTGGAAACGCTCAATAGGAAAAGCAAAAATTCAGTTTACAAAGCTAGGGAACTGGAAGTCCTTAGATCCTGAGAGCACTGGACATCATTTGATAAGGGTTCCATCCAAGTGAAACATTATATTGCCTCCCAATTTCTCTCTAAGCATTGAGAGTCTTTACTCATCATTCCAAACCACTTACTTGCTACTTATGTTTAATATTTATTTAACTTTCTTTTCAATGGCATCTTGAGAACTGGTGTAAATCGTGCTTATTAAATGTGCACTTTCAGGGGCCTGGAATATAAATATTGGATCTTTTTTTCTTGGACTCTTTTTATTTCCTATGTGGCATTGTATTACTAGCAATCTTTTAAAGATTAGCATAGCAACTTTTCAAAACATGAGTAGGGTCTTCTATAGTATCACTGACAGAACTTACCAAGGTTTGATTTGCTTCCTCTACCATTGCGTGTTTGTGTTTATTTGTTTGTTTTTGTCATTACCTAAACAAAAGATCGATGTCTACCTTCTTTTTCTCCTGGTCTCCTCTGGCAACGGATTTCCTTACTCTCACATTATTAAAAATTCGGGGCCGGGTACGGTGGCTCACACCTGTAATCCCTGCACTTTGGGAGGCCAAGATGGGTGGATGGCTTGAGCCCAGGAGTTCAAGACCAGCTTGGGCAACATGGTGAAACCCCATTTCTGCAAAAATTTAGCAGGGTGTGGTGGTACACACCTGTGGTCTCAGCTAGTTGGGAGGCTGAGGTGGGAGGATCACTTGAGCCTGGGAGGCAGAGATTGCAGTGAGCCTTGATAGCACCACTGCACTCCAGCCTGGGCAAAAGAGTGAGACCCTGACTCAAAAAAAAAAAAAGATGAATTCATTCTCTATAACTCCAGGAGCCATAGTGCTAGGGACTGTGACTGTGGCTGTGACTCCCTTTTGAATCACAACTATATATATATTTTTTTTTTGAGACAGAGTCTCAGAGTCTTACTCTGTCACCCAGGCTGGAGTGCAGTGGTGCAATCTCGGCTGGCTGCAACCTCCACCTCCCAGGTTCAAGTGATTCTCCTGCCTCAGCCTCCTGAGTAGCTGGGATTACAGGCATGCACCACCATGCCTGGCTAATTTTTGTCTTTTTAGTAGAGATGGGTTTTACCATGTTGGTCAGGCTGGTCTCGAACTTCTGACCTTGTGATCCACCTGCCTCGGCCTCTCAAAGTGCTGGGATTACAGGCATGAGCCACCACTCCTGGCCTGTATTGTATTTTTATTGCATGCTAAAAGTAAACATTTTTAAAAACACACAAGTTTTTTGACACTTACTGAGAGTCTCCATAAATGGAAGTGACCAGGCTACCTTCAACCTCTGAGACACCCTGCCAGGCTTTCAGGTGGGTGATGACAGCACTCATGTCTCACCACAGTTTTCTTTTAGGCTAAAGAGTCCTGGTTGGGTATATCAATGCTCGGTCTAGATTTCCACCATTTCCTTTCTATTTTCCTGGTGTTTTACAGT